TTTGTCATGTAATGGTCTTTATATTACAATAAAAAAAATGAGGGGAAACAGAAGCAAAAATGGCTCATTTATTGTTTTCATCATTCAGAAACATATAATTTTAAAAACAAACATCACTTTAAACTGTTAACAAATTCAACGCAAAAAATTTATTTCTTGGGCAGGGAATACATTCATGAATTTATACATTTAAAAGCTAAAAAGAATAAAAAGGTATCTAGTGTCAAGCTTCACCCTTTCCTTGCTCCCCACTGGCCTGGTTTCCACACCCCATAAGTAATCACTATTCTTTCTTACTTATCTGTCCAGTATGTCTTACCTTCCTCCTCCTACCTATACCTCTCTTTCCACTAAAAAAAGTAACCTGTAATATCCATTTCTCTGCACCTTTGCCTTTTCCACTTAACTGTAGGTCTGGTAGAGTTTTTCCATGTCACTACATACAAAGCTTCTTTTTTAATGGTTCTAGAGCATTCTACTACATGGATTTATCATGCTGTTTAGTTGGTGGTTTTTAGTTATTAAAGGAAGCAATATCCTGGGCCCACTTTTAGGGCCTACACAGGCCTCTTCCATGGTCTACCCTCCCAAAGGCAGATTGCACCACCAGAGTGAAGTGTGAAAAGATGAAATTAGCTATCTGTTGATGAATGTTAGTATTAATGCATAGTAGGTACATTATCTTAGTCTCTCTACCTTTGTATGCTTTGAAATGTCCATAATAAAAGTTTTTAAAAAGTGAGACTAAATATACAAATGTACCAAGTAGATGCTAGAATGCTGCAAATGAAGAGAGCTTAATGGAATGTTAGAATGGATTTATCGAAAAAAGAAAAGAAAAAGAGCTCAATTAAAGTAGCAAAAGCCAAACAAGTCACAGTTTAAAAACACCATATCACCCTGCCACTTAAAGCTGGAGCAACATGAATTCTAAGGAAGTGAGGAGCAGGGCAAAAGGGTCTTAAAAGGAAGGGGAACAAAGAACAAAGATAATATTACACTAGCCTTCTGTCACAAACACTGAGATGAATAAAGCAAACAGTGAGCTCCGGACAGAGAATCCAAAGATGGATTTTAATCCCTATTTTGCTCCTAATTTATTTCTAATAATATAGGCCACTCATCTTAGTTTCCTTACCTATAAAAATTAGGACACAAATCAGATAATCTGAAAGGTCTTTCTCCACAGTAATACTTTGTAATTTCCTTTGCCACACTAACATGCAAGTTTTTCTGGTGCCAGTTATTTACATATCTCACAAGTTAAAGTTCAATGTATAAAACTGACCAGGGATTCTCAACAGCTCTCTTGCCAGAATTCTAGGTAAGCTTTCCAAGGGTCTTCCCACCTTACTTCTTTTTTCCCACTGCTTTCTGTGACTGATTACAGAAGGGGTCTGTGGGGCAGTTAGCCAGCTGGTCAAAAGTAAAACTTTTCCATGATTAGTAGCTAGAAACTAGGCTGGCTGCAAATCATAATTCCTTCTCAAGGCCTTCAGGTCAAAGCCTTAATTCCTCACATGGGACACAGCCCTTCATGATTCACTTCTTAACCACTTTTCTAAATTTCTCTCTCACTGAAACCTCTGTGCTTTGTTTATCCTGTACTAACCATAGTTCCTTAAATACATGATGCTCATTTATTCCTCTAGGCATTTTAACATGCTGCCTGGCTCACCTCTCTCTCTCTTCCTCTCCCTCGGGATAATGTCTACTTACCCTTCAAAACTCAGCCACTTCTCACATCCTATAGAAAGTTTTTCATGAACCAACATCTCTCCCTTTCCAACCCACATTATGCAGTATGCTGCACAGAAACCCTGCAGTTGACACTTAATAAATATTGTGATTATTATTTACTTGCCTCTCCTCTCACCAGACTGGGAACTGCGTGATTGTATACCTAGCAGAGTCCCTGACATGTAGGAGGCACTATAACAGGCTTTCCATACCTTTATTTTTAGTAGTTCTCACCATATATACCTTTCTTTCTTCTAGTTTTTTTCTAGTTTCTTCAACTGTTTCAAATTCTGGAGCATAGCACACATGAAGCAATCCTCCAAAGAAACTCTGTTCATCCATTTTTCTCTTGGCTGTCCTGAATAGAAATAAGTGTTAGCATGGTTTATTAATCTAGATTTACTTCAGATGAAGTTTTAACTTGTATACAACAAACACACAGATACACTGATCTAAAGAGCAAAGTCCAGCTTTGCTAAATGTATATACATCCTATGGACTGGTAATTCAGATGCTCTGCCTGTGGATGATGTTGATCCTACTGACCCAGTATGTACCCTTAAAGCCTTCCCCTCCCTCTCCCAATAACGTTAGCACGTTTTGACCTAGGCCACCCACACATATCCAGACTTTCTTTAACTAAGGACCCAGGTGGTTGGCCTGAGGCACATAAACTGTGGTCATAAAATAGAGCTCTTCTCTGTGTTAAATGGTCCTTGAGAGTTGGCTCATACCCATTTTAGCCTTTTCAGCACAATGTGTACCTATAATGGGATTCGTATATTTAAAAAATCAAATTAAGGACCCTATAACTGTATAAAACTTTCAATAACTGATGAGATATTGAATATATAACAACTAAACAATGAGAAAGTAAGAAGAACGTTATTCATTCAATAAATATTTATGGAACATCTAGGACTGGCCAGGAACTATAAATAAGTAAATTTAAGTACTTCTGTGTTCAGGGATAGCGATGAGTATTTATTGAGATTTTACCATGTGCCAAGCAATGTCACAAGTGTTTCACTTGAATTAACACCTCCGAATATGATGAAACTGAAATACTGAGACAGTATATAACTTGGCCATGCCCATACACTAATTTGTAGAGCTAGGATTCAAACCCAGATGTCTTAACTCCCGAGCCTACTAGACTAGGTGCTGTGGAAAATACAAAGCTGTAGAAAATATGCTTCCCTAACGAGGGGGAGCTGGCAGGTTGGTTTGGAAAATGAGATGACATATAACAACTGCCTGAGAACAACACATGACTCCATAAAATCAAGTGCTTTGTGGCAGACTATGAGTTCTACTGATAGCACAGAAAAGAAAATGTGAATTCTGATAGCCAAGGGAGGATGGGTCTCAAGAGCAGATTAGTGACAACAATAGGGATCAACATAAAAACAGATAAGGCATTGCATACTTCAGCCTCGTTGGAGCAGAGGGTTTATGTGATATAACCTCAAAAAGTAGGTCTTTTTACCATACAGATTTTACAGAAAAGGAAAACAGGCTTAACAGGGTTAAACAACTTGTCCAAGGTCATGAAGCTAAGAAGCAGTGGGACTGGAAAACTTACTCCAAACCCAATTTTTTTTTTTTTTTTTGAGACAGAGTCTCACTCTGTCCCCTGGGCTAGAGTGCCTTGGCATCAGCCCTGCTCACAGCAACCTCAAACTCCTGGGCTCAAGCAATCCTCCTGCCTCAGCCTCCTGAGTAGCTGGGACTACAGGTGAGTGCCACCAGGCCCAGCTAATTGTTTCTATTTTTAGTAGAGACAGGGTTTCGCTCTTGCTCAGGCTGGTCTCGAACTCCTGACCTCAAGAGAGCCTCCCGCCTCAGCCTCCCAGAGTGCTAGGATTACAGGTGTGAGCCACTGTGCTCGGCCCCAAACCCAATTTTTAATCTCCCATAACACAGGATAGAAAGTGTTAAACATAGGAATGATGTGATGGAAATAGTGCTTTGGTAGGGTTTAATCTTTAAAAAGACTGGAGGAAGACACAAGTAATACAGGGCCATATTAAGTTACTGGGTAATTTAGGTATGAATGAGGGAAATCTGGGGCCAAAATGAGAGGAATAAGAATGAAGAAAATGAGACATTGCTTAACTTGCATATTACCTTGCACTTCGTAAGTTCATAAACTTAATAAGATAAACTTCAGTAAAGTCTTCTGCTGGGTATTCATCTAGAGCATTATACTGTTCAATTGCACCATATAGAGCAAATCGCTCAACTAATTCTTTCATGGCTCCCACTGCAGGAACTCCTTGTATTAACAAGTACCGAGATTCCAAATTGATTGTATATACCTAAAAGAAATGCAGACTCATTAAACTATTTCGCAAGTAAGCCTAGGACAAATCTGCCCCTATTTTTAAAAAACAGAGCTTTGAAAACAACAAATAACCTGTTCAAACCAGTTAGCAAAACACAAAAAATAAAAATTTTGCCACTCGCTTTGCATAAAGAGTAACACATTCCACATGTCAGGGTATCTAACTAAGGCATATAACCGACTACCTCAGTCGACATTTTTTTCCAGAAGTTGGTTCGGTAGACGTCAGTGGGAAGAGTCACTCAACAAATATTCACTGATTACCACGTGCCAAGCAATATGGTAAACACAGAAGAGCCAAAGACTAAAACCCAGCCCTATTCTCGTGGAGTTTATATTCTAATAGTTGACCAAAGGGGTGGTGAGAAACTTTGGTACTTGACCTGGGGTTCTTCACGCCATCGCCTCGAGAGACAGACCTGACAGTAGCCCTTATTTACGTTAGTCTGGCCATGTGGTGCTTGCGCTTACATATAACTACCAAGGATAGCAAATGAAATCGAAATCACTTTACCTTGACAGCACGAGGCCGCCGTCCCTCTCGGTATTTGGCTCGCGTGTCGCATACCTCCCTCTGGACGTGATGATCGAATAAGCCCCCAAGCTCCCCGCCACTCGACGCCATCTTGCCTGCTTTGGTCATCTCGAGAAGAACAACATCCGCTTTGCTGACCTCCGGTTTATCCAATAAGAGAGCGGGACGGGTCAAAGCGTGTCAGGATTGGCTGAAGAATCGACAGCGTCGGCTATCGTTTCCTGCGAGAGAGGACTGGGTGGACGAGGTGCTGCCTCCCAGCGGCTCGGCGGAGAGGCCCGGTGGGTGACAGAAGCTTGCTTGTCCCACAGTCTGTAGGCACGCCGCGAGACGCGCCGCTGGGAGAGGGGGCGGGGCATCAAGGGGCGGGGCCGATCGATCTTTTCGGGCTCCGACGCCCTCGGCCTGCACGGGCCGGGGTCAGCCAGAGCGCTCAGGTGGGGCACCCCGGAGCGGTGCTTCTGGACCATGTGGGGCAGCGATCGCCTGGCAGGTGCGGATGGAGGCGGGGCGGCAGTGACTGTGGCCTTTACCAACGCTCGCGACTGCTTCCTCCACCTGCCGCGACGCCTCGTGGCCCAGCTGCACTTGCTGCAGGTAACACGCCGTCCTCGCGACGCCTGGACTTCAGTCTCGGGTCGGATGAGGCCGAGGCCTTTTAGGGACTCGGCGGCCGCTCAGGCCTTTGTGCGCAGCGGGGCACTGGCTGCCTTCCGGGCGCCGCCGATCTGTGCAGAGGCCACACTGAGGGCCCCTAGAGGGCAGGGCCGTTCTGGGTAGTCTCTGCATCCCACACCGTGTGTAGTGCAACCTGGGACCGTTAACTTGTCCTATTCCAGGTCTTTTCACTCGGTGAAAATGGGCTTTGAAACAGCCTAATATTCTACCTCTGTATTCAGAAATATTCTTCACTCTAGATTGGAAAAGCTCTTGAGAAGTCATTTATATTTATTTTGAAAAATGTTTTACCTGCCATCGATATCCAGTTACCTGCTCTGCCGCCTTCCGGGCGTCAAAAGGAAGGGTCAGATTTGGTTTGCTGAGCCCCTGTACCTTAACAGGGACTGAGCACCACGTCCCACGAGCAGGAGAGGTGAATAAAATGATGCCTCTTGCCTGCATCGCTGACCCTCGGAACACAGCCGAAATGTGCCAGAACGTGCATTGGAATGATGTATACCTGCACATAACGTAGTTAGGATCACTTGAACCTCTGCGGTCAGTAGCCCTTCTGGACGTTGTGGTTGTGGTATTTCACAGTTCTCACCACTGCAGATAAACATTCATATCTTCATAATTAAAAATAGAGACACATGGTCTCACAAATTTGAGTGTGCTTACGGAGACAAAGGAATAGGATATTTGTAATCCTTAAAAATCCTAGATGCATGGTACCACCACTGGCTAATCCGTGCAAGAAATATTTAAGAGTTTGCAATAATTTCAAGCATCCCATCTTTCCACTTTAGCTACTTCCCCGTAACTATTTTTCTAGATTTTTTGGTCCATCTTTCAAAATATATCAAATTCAGCAGAATCCTTTCCCTTTTTTTTTTTTCCTTTTTTTAAGCATTAAGTAGGTAATCTTTTGGCCCTGACAATCTTCCTTCATAGCTGGAGAGGAATCAGTCACTGTCACCAAGTTCCAGGTAGAATTTGGCTCAGTGCTCTCTGGGTCAGCTTTGATGGAGATTTTCAATGTGTTTTCAAATCCATATCTAAGGAGTTTATTGGAATAAACTCCCCACCTAATGAATTTATAGGTATACATCCTCATAGTAACTCTAATTTGATCCTAAGATTTGGTTGTTATTATAATACCTTACATCCATCACTGTTTAAGAATTTAGCGGTCTTGATCTTTGTTTTAAATTTTGAGCCTTCAAGAATTATTCATAAGAATTAATTCATGGATATCTTTTTGAAATGTAAATGTATTCAGCCCTGGAACAAATTGCTGTTTCTATTCAGCCTGTATCAGCAGGATATGCCAACTTTTCTTTCCAATTATTAAAGTAATACATATGTTTTATAAAAAATTTGGAAAGCATGAAAAATTATTAATGAGAAAATAAAAATTATCAATGAGAAAATACCCATAATTTCAGAACCTAAAGATAACTAATGTTGTCAGTTTAGATTAAATCTTCGTTTCTAATTTTTATTTTTAACAGAAATGAGGTCCTACGTACACACATATAGTTTTGTGTCCTGCTGCTTTCATATAATGTTGTTATGAGTGTTCTATTTTGTTAAAAGGTAATCATCATTTTAATTGGTTAATTAGTAGTCTAGCACAAATTTGCCATAATTTTAATTGTTCACTGTGATTGACCATTTAGATTGTACTCAATTTTTAGACATCAAAAGTGATACTGTAATTACATTTTAATAAAATGTTAAAAATAGCACATCTTTGTTTATAAAACATTGTTTTAATTTCTGGTTATTTAAGATTGGGTTAGAGGGCATAGATAAAGCAGAAAAGTTCACCAGTTGGGAGTTTATGGGTTGAATTATTTTATTTGGGCTGAAGCATTGAATACTGTTGTAGATAATACAGTAATGGGAAGAAGCTTGGAACAATGGTTTTCTGACCTGTGTCAGACTTAGTTTGAAGCTTTTAAAAATACAGATGTTCTGGTCTTTCCTCAGACCTACTAAATCAGAATCTTGGGGAGTGGGCTTCAGGCATCTGTAATTTTGAAAATGTCTCCAGGCTTCTTAGATGCATAAGAGTTCAGACGCACTGTTCTTGAATCATAAAATGTTAGTGGTGGAAAGGACCTTAGGTATCTAGGGCATTAACATTCTAAGGGAACTAGCACTCCTAGGCCAGTATCATTTCCATGCAGTTGATTTGCCATCTTGTCTATAGTTTAGTCTACATAATCCAGTTTAGCCTTCTCACTCTTTTTTCTATAACCAGTCGCCTTCCCGGTTCTGTTACTCGTGCCTTTCCTCCCGAAAACATTTTTCCTCCTTCTGTGCAAATTCAATGCCTTTAAAAAGACTGCAGTTCTACCTCCTCCACATATCTTTTCAATTCTCTGTTGCCCACATTTGTCTCCTTTTCAAAACATCGCTATTGTGTTTATGTGGCACATCTCATTTGTTACACTCAGTTATATGTTTCAAGTATAGTCTTCTCTTGTTTACCTAAATCTGTATTTCAGGATTGGGTACCCAGTAGATGCTTTAAGTCAGGATTTCTCAACCTTGGCACCGTTGACATTTTGGGCTGGATCATTTCTTGTTTTGGGGGCTCTCCTGTACATTGTAAGATGTTTAACAGCACCCTTGGCCACTATCCATTAGATGCCAGAACCACCGCCCCCTGCAATTGTGACAACCAAAAATGTCTCCAGACATTGCCAGACGTCCATTGGAGAACAGAATCACCCTGGTTCAGAACCACTGCTTCAGCTCAGTTACCTTGTCCAGACTTGGGCTCAGGACTTGCCGTGATCACAACAGGGGGAGAAGATTCATATCCACGCTGAATCAAAACAAATGAACCTAAATTGCCATCCAGATATGGCCACACAGTTTGTTATTTCCCTAGTGTTAGCAAGAGATACTCTAAGGCCTGGGAATTCCTAAGGCATTCCAACCTATGGTTTCACCTGAAGATTTCCTTTGCAGTGATACTGGTACCACAGTTTGGACCAGAGCAGTTAGTCAGTTTATTTGCTGATTAAACTCTTGAAAAAGAGGCTCCTTTCCGGCTCTTTCTTCCCTCTCTCTGAATAGCCAGGGGCTCTGTGGTTCAAGTAAAATGTTTTTCACATAAAAATGAACTCAGAACATTAGTCTGCAAAGTTTACTAAATCTAACTAAGCCCATGTTATGACTTTATGGAGGTAGTTACTACATTTTGACCAAATAAATAATTGAAGTATTTTCCTGTTTTATAAAGTTGAGTTTTCCCTTTTTCAGTGAGCTGGTATAGTTCTCTTTTTTGATGTTTCAGGCATGTTGCATATTTCCTGATTTAATGTCTCTGGTTTTAAAAGTTTCTTCATATGAAATAGGAAGAATTGATCTGGATTATATATCACTGACTGATGAAACCCCACAGAAAGCATCTGGGGGCTTGGTCACCTTCACACTTGCAACCTCAGCTCATACAGTTACAGCTGATATAGTAACTTAGGACTTTTGATTCCTAATGTAGGGCACTTTCTACTTTATCAAACTGTACTCAGTTGAAATATTTTGTCAGGCATAACAGGTGGACTGTTCTCTGAAAATTGTTAGAAAAATTACACAAGTAAATGATACATGATAGCTGTCTTGTATATGTAAAATTTTAATAATATAGTTAATTTCAAGTACATTATATTGTGCTCAGAAGTGACTCCAATGTCCTTTGAAATTCGTCCTATTTAAAGAAGCATAAGCCGTCTATACCTAATTTTGAGCTAGTAAAATTTCATGTAAATGAATGAATTTGATATTTAATATTTTAAATTAATTTTGATAGAAATAAATGAATTTAATAATACTGAAGTTTCCCGATATAATAATTCTTGATGGCTATTAAATCAGATATTTACTTTTTATTAAAAAATTATATATGTGTAAAAATGCTCATGATGCAATATTGAGTGAGGAAAAAGGATATTAAATTATTCCTATAATATACAACTATGTAAAAAACTTGCACATAGAAAAAAGGATTAGCAAGAAATAGACAAAATTATTCACATGGTTATCTTTTTCTGGAGGGAATATCAGTAATTCCTTTTTTCCTTTCAAGTTTATATATTTTCCAAGGTTTCTATAATGAGTTTGTAATTTTTTATTGTGTTTTTTTTTTTTTTTTTGAAACAGAGTCTCACTTTGTTGCCCGGGGTAGAGTGAGTGCTGTGGCGTCAGCCTAGCTCACAGCAACCTCAAACTCCTGGGCTCAAGCGATCCTCCTGCCTCAGCCTCCCGAGTAGCTGGGACTATAGGCATGCGCCACCATGCCCGGCTATTTTTTTCTATATATATATATTTTTAGTTGTCCAGATCATTTCTTTCTATTTTTTTAGTCGAGACGGGGTCTCACTCTTGCTCAGCCTGGTCTCGAACTCCTGACCTTGAGCGATCCACCCGCCTCGGCCTCCCAGAGTGCTAGGATTACAGGCGTGAGCCACCGCACCCGGCCAGAGTTTGTAATTTTTTAATCATAGAAAACACTATTTTTAGTCCTTGGCCACAAACTTACATATTTTATATATTTGTTCTTTCAATGAGAATAAATTTTATATTTTGCTTTTTTTAACTTATATTTCCATAGTTCTGTGAACCTTTAAAATTATTATTTAAGAAGCTAAATAATACAACATTTCCGGAAAGGTACAGACAATGCTATTGACAGTAATTACCTCTGGGAACAAGGACATGTCTCCACATTTTATCCTTTTGTACTTTTTGTGCTTTTACCATGTACATTTATTACTCTTCTAATAAATAAGTAAATAAATACGGGATTGCATAATCCATCTCATTGGTGTTTCATAATTCTAAAGCTATGTTTTTATATATTATGTTTTTAAAGATCTTGATAAATTTTTCTACTTCTGTACTTCTATATAATTGTTATATATGGCTCAATGACTGTGTAAGTTCAATGACTACGTATTACCATTTTGAAGTCTGAAATGTTTGAATCAGTTTATGATGCTGTCATAAGAATATAAGGGTATTGGTTTTATTCATTAGCATCACCAGCACTGGGTTTTGGAAACGATTATAGCTTTTGAAATGCTATGACAAATGTGAATAACAGCAAGCCATCAACTATCTATAGAACTCTTTTTATATGTGTGGATTACAATAATGGTTTATTTTTCTGTGAATCTAGAAAAACATGTAAAAACTTTTAAAACTTTTCACCCTCCCTTTTCTCATGTGAATAGAATCAAGCTATAGAAGTAGCCTGGGGTCACCAGCCTGCATTCTTGAGCTGGGTGGAAGGCAGGCATTTTAGTGATCAAGGTGAAAATGTGGCTGAAATTAACCGACAAGTTGGTCAGAAACTTGGACTCTCAAATGGGGGACAGGTAAGCACATAATAACTTTCTTCCAATGTCACATAATATAGCAATGGAAATAAAAGTTCAGATTTCTTTTTTAAAGGCAGTGAGATAACACCTAACTTGTATGCTGTTATAACTAGTCTAGGATATTCCAGTTGATTGTATTCGTTAAGTCATTATTTTGTAATTTACCATGCTCCCTACTTGATTTTTTATTTTACTATTTTACTCATTTTCCATATCTCTAATTTTGTTTTTGATGTTATTTTTCCTTTCTGGATTACTGGGTTTTACTTACTATTATTGAACTTTGTTTCATTTGTTTCTGACATATTTTCTAACCTTCAGTGGTCTTATATGATTAAAAAAATCAATTTTATACAGGGTTATTATTTTTTCACTTTTTTCTTCCCTTATGAATTTAATATGCTTAGATTGTAAACTCGCAGACTTAAAGCCCTATATCTATTTTCTGTTTTGTTATGTTCATCCATTTATTCCTTTAAAATTTTTTAAGCTATAGAAGTAATAGGTATTCATTATAAATACTTTACAATTGAAAGTAAAAAATGAGTTTTTGCCTTTCCCTAACCCCAGCTTCAAAATGAATTTTACCTCACAAAATATGTCAAGTACCTTTCCATGTATTATAAACAATGTGCATTGAACCTCTCTCTGTAAATGATCCTGTATTATAGCAATGCCAAGACACCATCTCCCAAAGAATCATTGGTAGAAACAGAAAGTGGGCTGGCTAGCCCAGGAGTCCTTAGTTTCTTAGTGGGCAGTGTTAGGTTTGTTCCAGGTGGGAACCCAAAAAGTATGTGATCATAAAGCCTGTGAAACAAAAGCCGCAGGAGTCTGGTGAGGGGGTGGGGGTTGTAAATCTAACTTTGACCACAGACGGCTGCAGCAAAGCCCGGCATTCCTATCCCCCTAATAAGGATGAAGCTACCCCATCCCCTATCTCTGCAGGTGTTGCATATCTTCCCCCCAACCCCTCCCACCCCGCCCCAGGAAAAATCCTCTATAAAACCCAAGGCTTTCCCCTCCCTTGTGGTGGATGCTCTTTTGGCCTCCACCCATCTGCACCCAGATGTTCAAAATATACAGCATTTGGCTACACATGAGGCTTTGTGTGTCTCCTGCCTGCCTGGACCTAACAGGCAGGAGTTTCCTTGTGCTTCCTCACAATCAGTCATCCTATTCAGTAAGGGAGACACTGCAGGGAAATTCACTAAAAAGTCTGGGGTGAGGCACTCAACGAAATTCTGCCCCACTCCACAAAAGCTGAGAGGAAGGGCTGGTTACCTAGAGCATTTAACATGCCAAGCCTTTGGATGTTACTCCTTTAAACCATGGAAATGCCTATAAAAGGGGGAAGGAAGTAAGATGGTGGACTCTAGCTTATTTAAACACACTGGCATTTCTTGTATCTGTTAAAGTGAGATGGTATTTGTTTTACTTTACTTTTAGCTGTGAAAGATTTTACTTTTACATAATTGTTTCTGATCTCTATTTCAGTGTATTTTTCACTTTTCTAGAAGCAGCATGGCTTGAAGTTAGTTATAAAGTTAACAGTTGCAAAACATCTAGAAATAATGAGAGTATATGTTAGATCAAACGATGACTTGGTAATATTGCCATTTCTCCTTGTATTTTTAACTTACATTTCTTTCTTTTAATGATTATCTTTATTTATTTTTGAAAAACGTGTTACATTAGGATGTATTTTCCTTTATTCTATAATTAGTTGTGAAGTAATTTTTCCTAAAATGCTGAGTATATCAAGGCCTAGCTAAGTATAATAAATATTTGTCCCATGAAAGAATACATATACGCATTACACACACTAACATGCACTCTGTCACTCTCACTCACCTAAAAAGATAAAAAAGTAACTTCTTATATTCTAGGGATACAGAAAAGTCTTTTAAAATTAGTTTTAAATTTTTTATTTTTTCTAGGTATTTCTCAAGCCGTGTTCCCATGTGGTATCTTGTCAACAAGTTGAGGTGGAACCGCTCTCAGCAGATGATTGGGAGATACTGGTAAAAAAAAATTAGATAAAAATATCTCATTTTAAAGTTAAACTACTTCAAAATATCAGTGTCTTTAGATTTCTGAGAATTTCGTTGGTTTGAGTTATAAGAGCGAATTGATAGAGATCTAATGTACAACATGAGGACTATAGGTAATAAAATTATACTGTGGATCCCAGTGTGCTGGCTCACGCCCATAGTCCCAGCTACTCAGGAGGCTGAGGTAGGAGGATTGCTTGAGCTGAGGAGTTGGAGGGTGCACTGAACTGTGATCATGCCATTGTACTCCATCCTAGGTGACAGAGTGAGACCCTGTCTATAAAAAAAGAAAAAAAATTTGTACTGTATTTGTCACGTGAAATGGGTAGATTTTAGCTGCTCTTGCCACAAAACAAAAAAATGGGTAGCTATGTGAGCTGATGGATATGTTAATTTACTTCACTGTAGTAACTTTTTTACTATCTATACATATCTCATAATATCATGTTGTATATATTAAATATATACATGATGAAATTTATTTTTTAGAAAAAGAATGAATTGATATTTTCTTACTAGACATGGAATGGACAAAATGTAAAGTCAATTGATCTTTTTGTCTGTTGGTTCTAGGAGCTGCATGCTGCTTCCCTTGAACAGCATCTTCTAGATCAAATTCGAATAGTTTTTCCAAAAGCCATTTTTCCTGTTTGGGTTGATCAACAAACTTACATATTTATTCAAATTGGTAGGTGCAATTGCAATACTTGCTGTCATACTCTACACTGTAGCACTGAGTCCAAAGTAGAGACGAACATGCACTCATGAACTTTATTTTCTACACAGTTGCACTAATGCCAGCTGCCACTTTTGGAAGGCTGGAAACTGACACCAAACTCCTCATTCAGCCAAAGATACGCCAAGCCAATGAGAATACATTTTCAAACACAGATGATGCATGTGGAAAATTTCATAGTTATGGAAGATACCCAAAAGGAATGACAAAAGAACTTCAAACCAAGCAACTTCAGTCAAATACTGTGGGAGTCACTGGATCTAATGAAACAGTGTCAGAGGTTCCAGTTGACTCATCATCGATACCAGGCTTATGGACTATGATAGGAAATATTTTTTCTTTCGGATCTAAGAAAGAACAAGAGACATCCTGGGGTTTAACTGAAATCAGTACGTTTAAAAATATACAGTCAGAGGTTGTTCCTCTAGGCAATATTTTCAGAGTATGCAAATCTCAACCTCCCAGTGTACGTAATGCATCAGCAATTTCTATGTTTCACAAACACTGTGCCATTCATGTATTTCCATGGGACCAGCAATATTTTGATGTGGAGCCCAGCTTTACTGTAACCTATGGAAAGCTAGTTAAGCTACTTTCTCCAAAGCAACAGCAAAGTAAAACAAAGCAAAATGTCCTGTCACCTGAAAAAGAGAAGCAGATGTCATTGGATCAAAAAGATACTAGCTCAGGTCATAGTCAAGAATCCGGTAAGGCCTGTGTGCTACAGGTAGTCTGGAATGGACTTGAAGAATTGAAGAATGCCATAAAATATACCAAAAACATAGAAGTTCTCCATCTCGGGAAAGTCTGGGTGGGTATAAATTTTATAATTCGGGGGAAAATTTATGTTGCTTAAACCTCCCCAAATTATGAGTTAGAATATTTTATATATAAATCAAAAACCAATAAAAAAGAAACACTCTCTAAAGGCAGTGGGTGGTGGCACATTTCTGCTTATAGGGTAAAATCCCAGTTTGGGTAAAGATTATATATTTTCTGGCCAAATAAACTTGGACAGGTACAGGCCCAGAGAGGTCAAAATTACTTGCCTGAGGTTGCATAGCTAGTAAGTGATAGAACTAGGATTCAAGCTCAGACAGATTGGCTCTAGGGTTCATGCTCAGCATGGAGTGCCCTACAAAGCCTCACATCTTTAATGCTTGCAGATTCGTTCCCAAGTTCTTGAAAGCAAAGAAAGGACTTGTTACATATTGAGGAAAATGCCCAGTGTAGGGAGAGAAACATGGCATGAGATAACCTTCCTGCTGCCTGTGGTGGCACCTGGACCGGAATGCACCCAGGAGCTGCTTACCCTGCTGGTTTCTGCTCTTTTAACTTGTGTATAACTGGGAGAGGAAGGGAAGAAGGGTAACTAGTGTTCTACTCCCTCATCCTGACCTCAAATATTAATGCTAAATTTGTATAATATGAGTTACCTGCCCCATTTATTTTAACCTAATTTTGCACCACTGTGAAGTGAAACTTCATATTGATAAAGGGAGGAAACTGTTAGGAAAGGGAAGAAAAATAGGAAGGTAAGTTTGTCCCTTGTAGATATTTTTTACTCTCAGAGTTTTACCTGTGACTTTTATGCAAGTAATTTACAAAGCTTTAATCTCTTTGGCCTACATTTACTAAAGCTCCAACCCATTATTTTCTGTTAGCTTTAAACTGTTAATTTAGAAGATACTGCTGCATCCTCAAATTAAAAATGTAGAACTTATGCTGCACTTATGAATTACTTGGTTCTGCCATTAAATGGAAATATCCTTTGATTTCCTTGAAATTGTGTGGTAAAGATAGGTTGAAAAAGTGCTGATGGTTAAAGTCCCGGGAACCACACTGAGATAGCAGTAAGAAGTCTGCACTTCCCATTCTACTTTAAAGGTTGAGGAACCATAGACAATGAGAAGTGACAGGAGTTGAAATCGAACAGGCTTGACTTGAGAGACCAGAGTCGATCACTTGGAGATACGACTAACAAGTTAACGTTTATGATATTTTGATCTAGCAGCCTAAACAAACTATGAGTTATTGGGATGAGTTGGGATGAGTTATTGGGACAACTGTGAGTTATTGGAATAGCTTCTACAATTTCACCTGAATTCATAGAGGCTAATATCAATATTTATGCTATGGAATTTCTTAAGCTTTGAATATATTTATATTTTTGTTAATTTATTTTTAAATTTTAGATGCCAGATGACCTGATGAAGAGACTAAATATAGAAATGCATGCAGTAGTCAGAATAACTCCAGTGGAAATCATCCCTAAAATTCCAAGATCTCTGAAGTTACAACCTAGAGAGAATTTAGTGAGTTCAAATATTCATGTTATATCAAAATTCTTTTAGAGGTGTTTTAAAATTTCTAGTTGCTTTAGCTAAGTAATAAGGATGCTGTAGTCCTTTTTGCTAGAAGGACAAAGATGTCTTTTTTAAATTGTGTTAAGATATATATAACATCAAATATGCTATTATAACCATTTTTAAGTATACGATTCAGTGTCATCAATTACATTCATGATGTTGTGCAACCATTACCACTACCTATTTCCAAAATTTTTCCATTACCCTAAATAGAAACTTTGCACCCATTCAGCAATAACTCCCCATCTTCTCCTTTCCTCAGTTCCTGGTAACCTCTATTCTATATTGTATCTCTATGAATTTGCTAATTTTAGATATTTCAAGTAAGTGAAAGCATATAATATTTGTCCTATGTATCTGACTTAACATAATGGTTTTGAAGGTTCATCTCTGTTGTAGCATGTGTCAGAACTTTGTTCCTTTTTATAGCTGAATAATATCCCATTTTGTGTGTATGTGTATACATATATATACACACACCACATTTATTTATCCGTTTGTCTGTTGACGGACACTTGGATTGTTTTCACCTTTTTGGCTACCGTGAATAATACTGCAGTGAACACTGGCGTACAAGTATCTGTTTGAGTTCCTCTTTTCAATTCTTCTGGGTATATACCTAGGAGTAGAATTGCTGAATCATATGGCAGTTCTATGTTTAACTTTTTCAAAAGCCAAGAAGTCTTTAATAAGTGATAAACATATTATATAGTGCCAATGCAAATATGGATAATTTTGGCTTTTAAGACATTGGTATTTTTGCCATATCCATGTAAATTTTAAAAATTTCTGCCTTATTTTAGTATGAATATTGCAGCTTAAAAGAGCGCTAGACTGTTTTACTTTTCAACTCAGTTAATTCTTTGGAAACTAGCAGGGTCAGGAAATGAGATACTGAACTTAATTTAAAAATATTTTTAGGCCAGCCATGGTGGCTCATACCTGTACTATCAGTACTTTGAGAGGCTGAAGTGGGAGGATCACTGGAGCCCAGGAGTTCAAGAACAGCCTGAGTAAACACAGTGAGACCCCATCTACACAAAAAATAGAAAAATTAGCCAGTGTGGTAGCGCATGCCTGTAGTCCCAGCTACTCCGGAGGCTGAGGCAGGAGGAAGGCTTGAGCCCTGGAGTTAGAGATTGCAATGAGCTATGATAACGCCACTGCACTCTACCCCAGGCTACAGAGCCAGACCCTGTCTCAAAAAAAAAAAACAAAAAAAATCTTTTTAATAGAATATTATCATATGTACCAGTTTGAGTTAGCAGTTCTCAAATAATTATAATATAGGAAAATTACTATTGTATTATATGTTCAAGAAAGGCAACACAATTTAATCTTTCTCTGGTAATTCAGATAATACTTTTGGATCTTTGAGATCATTATGGTCATTATGCCATGGAAGAACCAATTTAACAACTTTCTAGTAGATGAAATACCAGATAAGATAGCTTATATTATCTGGAAAAGAGAAAAACAAATAGAAAAGTGCCATTTCTATAACAATATGTAATTGAGCACTTAACGCATTGGCTATACAGTACACAGTGCTTTATAAAATGTTTTATTTTAACTTTTTGTTTATAGGTAATGGTGTTTTTCAAATATCAGGTCCCTTATGTGAGAAAATAATAAGCCATTGGTCATTAGATATGGGGTTTTTTTGGTCTCGGTAATGGGATATACTACAGAATTTCTTTTCTATCCTGAGTTGCGTATTTGGGTGGAAGCTTTATGACATTTAGCAGGCCTCTCTGGGCTGTAATTATATCACTTGGGACATGAAAATGTTTGATTCTAGAAGAACTGGGAGTTGCTTTCTGATTCCAAAATTTTTTATTTAAATAGCTCTCATTTGTATTTTATAACTTCAGTTAGGTCTTTAATCCCATTGCTCAATAATATCCAAAGAAGTAACTATTTCTGTGATTTCTAAGAATGGGAAAATGATGCCTTTTCTTAGCTAGCCTACTTTAGATAGTGGTCAAAACTGACAGCAGATCCTAAGCTTGACTCTGGATGAAGAGAGAACAGAAATGGACCAGTTTGAGAAGTGGTAGAATAGAGGTTTATTTTCCTAGGCAGATATTAATCATCTTTTCTATGTGAATTTTTGTTATTTCAATTTGTATTAATGATTTTTAAAAGGTTTAAAAACTTAATTTTACTTTAAAAGTTTTAAAAATTAGCAGTGTTTTTTTTAAAATTTGTATATACCTTTGAATTATTTATTACTGCTCTACTTACTGAGTATTTGAGGACTGTGAGCAGTTTAGCAGGAAAAAAAGACAAGAAACAGTGGCATAAACATATAAAGGATTTATTTTTCTTATGTACAGGGACATTTGAAGGAGCTCATAGGTGGTTAAACCAAGTCATCAAGAATCTGTTCTCCTTTTGTCTTTCTCTTTGCCATGCTTAGCTCATAACTTTCCTCCTCTTAAATGCAAGATGCTTGCTATACTAATGGGCATCATGTCTGTATTAAGGAAACAGAAGGAAAGGCACAAGGCAGAGAAGCCTTCTCCTGGCAAGGTTTCACTGCCTTTAATTAGGAAAGGAAGCCCTTCCCAGGGATTGCTGACTCCTGCCATTGGCCAGAGTAATGCCACATGGATACGTGTCCACACACACATATGCATAGCTCCAAGCTGGGAATCTAGGATTATGCTTTCCTTCCTCTGTAATAGAGGGAGATGAGGGAGAATGGGGTTGGAATGGTTATTGAGTAAGCCACATTATGGTATGTGTATCACTGAGCATAGGGAAAAGGAGTATTTAAAACTTTTGACACTTAACATACATGTTTCTTCAGGCTACGCTGTACTCATTGTATTAACTGTAATATCAAATCCCAAATCTGTGTCTATAGAATATGAAAATCATTCACTGGCTTTGTTTGGTAAGATTTACATTTTATTAAAAAGATAAGATGTTAAAATCAGTGTGTTAAAGTTAGGTTCGGATATTAGGATAATTCATTATTATTCTTTTCTTTCCTCTGGCAGCCTAAGGACATAAGTGAAGAAGATGTAAAAACTGCATTCTGTTCATGGCTACAGCTGTCTACTACCACCATGCTCCCTTTGATAATATCAGAGGAAGAATCTATTAAGCTGGGCATTAAAGATGGTGGGTAAATTTGTTATTTTGACATTTTTTCTATTTAAATAGTCGTACTTTTTTTTTTTTTTTTTAAGAGACAGTCTCGCTTGGTCATTCAAGCTGGAGAGCAGTGGCATGATCATAGCTCACTGCCTCAAACTCCTGGGCTCAGCTGATCCTTCCACCTCAGCCTCCTGAATAGCTGGGACTACAGGTGTGTGCCCCATGCCTTCCTAGATTTTTGTATTTTTTTTTTTTTTTTTGTAGAAAGGGTGTCTCCCAGGCTCGTCTTGAACTCCTGGCCTCAAGTGATCCTCCCACTTCAGCCTCCCAAAGTTCTGGGATTATAGGCCTGAGCCACTGTGTCCCGCCAATTGTACATTTTTAATTGTTTTTCCAACTTGTGTGACACATGTGAACAGTGAAATATAATAATGATAATTAAACAGTAAATTTTACATATTGCAGAATGCCTTTCATTTAAATACATTTGACATTTAAAATCTTAAATTATTGCATCTCAGTTTTAGTACTAACTCTCCATTTATTACTTTCTTTTTAATAGGGTTGAAGGAGTTTTCTCTGAGTGTAGTTCATTCTTGGGAAAAAGAAAAAGAAAAAAATATTTTTCTGTTGAATACCAATCTGCTGCAGAAGACCACAATACAAGTAATTACATATTACTGAATATTTTATAAAATAACATATGTTAAATGTGATTAATAATAAAGTATGAATTTCCTTTCAACACCTTACATCCTGAAGTATATAAGAAACCCAAATGATAAGAGTAAGGAATAACTTGATTTAAAATATTTTATTCTATAATCTCTTTAAATTGTCTATACAAATTATTTATCCTGAATTTACAAACGACTGTCTTAGCACAATTAAGTTTCAAGAATAGAATTGATTGTGCTAACTGGCAAATGGATCATGATTTAAAATTCTTCTATCGAAACAAAAGAAAACTTAGTTGTAGGGGTTTGATTTTAAAAATTCATTTTTTTTGTACAATTTTACTACACATATTTTTTTGACAATTCTTAAATTCTCAGCTCTACACAAATATTATCAGATCAATTTTCTTCCAGAAGTATTTTAGGAGTGGTCTTTTGAGAATATTATTTTTTAGTTAGGCTATACATTCTTGTCATTATAGAATTGATAATGCTGTAGTCTAGTTGTTTAGAATTTCAGTGGTTTGGAAGTAGGCGTTATTTCTTTATTTTTGAAATATAATTGAAACAATACAATTCAGAGAAGATACAAATGTAAGAATTGTGAAAAGAACAATTGTGAAACAAATCAAAATTGCAAATAAAGATGTATCTGTTAAATGTGTTAAGAAGATGACATTCTTTCTGCATATTGACCATAAATATTTATGTTCCCTGGATGAGTAAATTGTTATTGTCAAGGGTGTTTTAAGTAATGATCTTGCATGCGTAATTTATCTGTTCTCTCTGGTGTAACAGAATCAGCAATTCAGTTTTCTGGGACCCTAGAAAAACAGGCAAAAGACATACTTTGAAATGTAAAACTGATTTTTCCTTGCTACTATAGGTCCTTCTAGATCCTATGGTAAAAGAAGAAAACAGTGAGGAAATTGACTTTATTCTTCCTTTTTTAAAGCTGAACTCTTTGGGGTAAGAAGTTATAGCCAAACTAGTATGTTTAAAACAGAGACATGTTTTGGCAGTATCTCTGGCAGGGTTTTTATGTGTAAATATTAAAGTAGATGTTAATGTCAATGAATGATCTTACTAATGCATTAGTAGATATTTTTTCAAGGATTGTCTCTATCTTCACACCTAGCTTAGTAATTTGCCTTATCTTCTTAGATAACTGAAAGTCTGAAGCTTATTAGAAATTTTACTTTGAAAGTTGATTTGTGAGAAGAAAGCAACTAAATATTATCCAGATCATATGTGCTTGAATAAAACAATAATTCTTGGAGCAAATAAGTATGTATTAAAGGTTAAATGCAAAAACATTAATTGCATGTTCAAAAATATTTCAAATTAAGTTATTCCTTCACTATTTTATATTACTGCATAATTGGGATTATTTGTATTTTTATCAACATTTAGAAGAAATCTAAAAAGCTCCTCTTAGTTTATTTCTTATGCAATATGAGAATCGCATATAAACATTACCTCTTAGAATTCTTCACAAGGCTTTTGGTAGATGTAGTAGTAGTGATTTGATTTCCTATAATAGTATTAGCTGTAAATGTTTTAGTAAAAGGATTAAGCCATAAACTAAAAATGTTTCAATATAGCACAATATTCATTAATATAAAGTAAAATCTCTTCAGACTCTAATTTTAGGAACTTATTATTTCTATTATCATAAATAAAGTAGCAGTCAGAGTCAATACGTAGGTTAAAGTTCACGTTTGTATCATCTACAGGTTGAAACTGGATTTCAAGGTGATGTTTAAGCAGAAATACGTTTTCAGTTACCCCAAGTACTTCAGAAGCACCCATTTGTCATTATGTTGATTACCAAACTAAAAGTCATTTGGGGGTGAGGGGGTGTTTGTGTGTGTTAAGACAGATTCCTTAAGGAGTTCTGTTAGGGCAAAACTTTTAGTTACTGCACATGTTTGAAAGTAATAAAATTAATTTTAAAAGCTGTGAATCAGATTTGGCATTAATATTTGCTTTCTCTCAAGTATGGAAGCATTTCTAAGATTTTACTCTTTTAAAATTCATTAACTAGATTGAGAAGGAAAGTTTCAGCATTTTTTATAGCTAGATTTTATCCCGCTTCAGTCTTTTATCGTGTAACAATTTATGTATTTTGCAGAGGAGTGAATTCCTTAGGCATATCCTCCATGGAGCACATCACTCATAGCCTCCTGGGACGCCCTTTGTCTCGGCAGCTGATGTCCCTTGTGGCAGGACTTAGGAATGGAGCCCTTTTACTTACAGGAGGAAAGGTGTGTGCTTAAAACGTGCTCATTTTCAGTAATAACTTTTCATTTCTCTTTCTTTGGGTTTTGGTCAGCTAATAAAGGGTTGTTAATACAAGATATGGAAAGCATTGCTTTATTCACTTATATTTTTGTGTGCCTGCTATTAGGTATTAGGGGAGTGCAAATGAATAAGACTGACGTTTTTCCTGCCCTTTTTCTGTGTCAATTGATACAATTATATGATTTTTCTTTTTTAGGCTATTGAGAGGGTGCTGGTAGGGTTGGTTGACTTTCAAATGTCGAATCAGCCTTGCATACCTGTAATAAATCCCATTTGGCCATGGCATATCATTCTTTATACATTGCTGAGTTCCATTAATATTTGCAAAAGTTCTGTTGAAATTTTTTGTATCTCAGTTTATGAGAGATAATAGTTTGTAGTTTGCTGGTTTTGTACTGTCTTTGTCTGGTTTTGCTATCAGGTAATACTGGCCTCTTAAAATGAGTTGAGAAGTATTCCCTGCTCTTTTGGCGGGGGGAAGAGATTGTATAAAATTGGTGTTCATTCCTCTTTAAATGTTTGGTAAAATCTCCAGTGAAACCATCTGGGCCTGGTCATTTCTTTATTAGTTTTCAATTACAAATTCAATTTCCTTAATGGTTATAATACCATTCAGGTAATCTCTTTCATCTTAGCTGACATGTAGTTGGTTTTTTTCAAGGAATTGGTCCATTTCTTCTAAGTTGTCAAATTTATCAGCATACAACTATTTGTCGTATTCTCTTATTATCCTTTTAATGCCCCCAGGATCTATTGTGATACCTGTTACCTGATACTGGTGATTTGTATCTTCTCTCTCTCTTTTTTTTTTTTTCTTTTTGAGACAGGGTCTTGCTGTGTTGCCTGGATAGAGTGCAGTGGCATCATCATAGCTCACTGCAACCTCAAACTCCTGGGCTCAAGCAATCTTCCCACCTCAGCCTCCCAAGTAGCTCAGACTACAGGGACACACCACTGCACCCAGATAGTTTTTCTATTTTTTGTAGAGATGAAGTCTTGCTCTTGCTCAGGCTGATCTCAAAGCAATCCTCCAGCCTTGGCCTCCCAAAGTGCTAGGATTACAGGCATGAGCCACCGCACCTGGCTGTCTTCTCTTTTTAATCTTTGCTAGTCTTAATATAGGTTCCCTGTCTTTTTTAAGAGCTTACAGTCTTATTCTCTACTAATGCAGTATTGTTTCCAAGAGTACAATGTGGTCTCTGTGAGTGTTTGTGCTTTTTTAATTCAAAAATTACACACCTGTAGTCCCAGCTATTCAGGAGGTTACGTGGGGAGGATTGCTTGAGCCCAAGAGTGCAAATCCAGCCTGGGCCAACTCGGTGAGATCTAAAAAATAAATTAATTAAGTAAACAGAATAAATAAAATATAGTAGCTACTCTGTGTGTATCTGAATTATCTATGTCAAGTTTCAAAAATGCATCATTGTGGTAGAATATTTATTTTGGAAACACAATATCCTACTGTCTCAGAAACCAGACTTTCACAGTCTCACCTAGGGGTAGCATAGTTAATAGGAAGAACAAGCAGAAGACCTGTATTTGACTCCTTCCTCTGCTATGTTACTTACTGGCTATAACTTCAGGCAGTTTAAGTTTTAGTGGCTCATCTGTGCTCTTTAGGATTAACTTCACTTAAGGGAGATAATATGTATGAAAGAGCTCTGTAAACTAAGAAGTACTGTACAAAGTGAATTACTTTGAGACAGGAGAAAAGGCCCCTGACTAAGGAAGTGATGATGACAAGTGGGGCCTATACCTTAGCACCCATCATTTCTTTACTCTTTGGAGCCATTGACTTTAAATATATGTGCAATTCTGTAAACTATAATAATGGTAGTATTTGTTGAGTGCCTCCTAAATTTCAGACTTTGCATATCAAACTTGGTTGTTTTCTAGTCTGCAGTACCGAAAACAAAATATTAGAACTACACTAGCAGGGCTGTTAGAGCTAGACAAAGGACAGTAGTAAGGAATGACGGTAGGTTAAGGAAAGTGACTGATATTAAAAGAACTATAAAAACCTACCAGTGTTCAGCCTTTCTAGGGGGCACTATGGCAATGTTAATATGTATACCTTTTGATGTAGTAATTCCACTTCTAAGAGTATAATCTGACAGATAAGTAAACTTGTATGTATATCGATGTTTATTCTAGCTTTATTTATAATGGTTAAAAATTGGAAGCAACATAAATATACACTAGAAGGGATTTGTTAAAGATACTATGGTTCAATACATCCCCACAGTGGTGGTGTACTAAGGAGCCAGAGCAGCTGTGTATTTGTTGACAGGGAAAAAGGACAATGATTTATCGTTAGGTAAAAAATAAGATTCTGAAGCCTCATGAATACTATAATCCTGTGTTCATAAAATGGGTGTGGTGTGTCTGGAAAGATGATAAACAATTGATGATGGTTACCTCTGTGAGTTAGGATAATTACAGAAGTTTTTTTTACCTTTCTTTACTAAGTATTTACAATTTTGTATTTTTACATTTTTTTATAATGAGGAAAAAAAGAAAGCTTTTACTTGGAAAAAAAAAGTGTACATTTGACCCAGCATGGTG